CAGCCATGAAGAAGAATGAAATCTTATCATTTGCAAGTAAATGGATGGAACTGGAGAACATCATTCTGAGTGAGGTTAGCCAGGCTCAGAAGACCACAAATCATATGTTCTCTCTCATATGCGGACTTTAGATCTAGGGCAAATGCAGCAGTGTGGTTGGACTTGGGTCACACCTAAGGGGAGAGCACATACGGGAGGAATGGGGATAGGTAGGAAACCCAAAACATGAAAGTGTTTGATGTCTCCACTGCAGAGAAGCTAATACAGTAATCTTAAAATAACAGAGGTCAATATGAGAAGGTGACTGGGAAGTAGTGAAGAGGTCAGGTAGAGATGAATCAATTCGGGTTGTAATACACTTGTGCATGGAAGCAAAGCTAGGACTTTCTCTGTATAGCTATCTGTATTTCAGCTAGCAAAAATGCTAAGTCTTTTTTTTAATGTCTTTCTTATTATTGCTTATGTCTTCTCTTCAACAAAATTGAAGGAAAGGGCAGAACAGGTTCTGCCTGGAAGTGAAGGGGTAGGGGGGAGAAGGAGGGGGTGAGGAGGGGTGAGGGGCAGGGGAGAAATGGCCCAAACAATGTATGCACATATGAACAAATGAATAAAGAAAAAAAAGTGCAAAGGAAAAGATAAAGTACAGATGACTAATTCTAAATCACAGTTTCAAAATCATATTTACTGTACTAACAGAAAATATGCCATAATAATTAGATATTTATATATATTTTTAAAGCTACTAGAATAAGATTCCTTAACTTTTTCTCTCTAGTATCTACAATTGTTTTTCCTAGGCATTCAATTTACTTCAATTGTCTCATTGTCATCTCTGTATGTATAAATGAGGACTGTGTTTATAATACCAAAATCCTGTCTGACCACAATATGAACCCCATCACAGCTCTTTAAGACTTTGGTTATGATTAGTAGTGACTGGGAGACCAATGTTAGCTGATATATGAGGAACAGAATGAAGATACTTTTAGTTCACATTGACAAATATTATTAGATGTTTGCTATGTTGCCAAGCAGTCATGCCAGGCACAGAGGTTAAAAAGCATTTAAGACCAATTTCTAGCTTTAAAGAGGTCTCTATCCAGCTTGAAAAACACACATAAATCAATAACCATAATGCAAATATGATAAACCCTGTCATGTGTTTTATGCATAGAAACATGTAAAGTGTCACAGTGACAAGGAAATGACAGTTTGGGGTCTCCTAATATGCGACAGCTTGTCCTGTGGAATAATACTTAAGATATGCATGGTGCTTTTTAAGTTCAGAATCATGCTCAAGTGATGGTAACTTAGAAGACAGATTTTTCAACTGGGCATGAAAATAGTTGTATACTATGATGGAAGAGTATACAGAATTCTGACCACATATACCCACTAAAATGCTGAATATACTAAAAATGAGTAACAGTGCCACAGTCCATCCAATTGCAATCAATACTTCTCTATGAAGGCTTACTGTCATAAGATATACTCCAACAGCTATTATAGGACAATGAACAAGTGTTTAGGAAAGCAAACTTTGAAAAGAAATCAACTATCAAGAGAGAGTATGTATACTGTGCTTGATTAAAGCATGGTATATACCAAGGCAAAACCCCCTTGACTGTCAATATACACTTTAAAAAATGAAGGGCAGGAGGGTAACAGGTCTTTTCAGAGGGTGGGTACCAGTGGGAAGGGGGTGGGCATAAGAAAAGGGTGAATAAAGGTGAATATGTGGATGTCTTTTGTATTTATATAGGAAAACAGAAGAATGAAACCGATTGAAACTGTTCTAAGAAGGGGGAAAAAGATATAAGGGAGGACAATGAAGGGGTAGATCTAAATAAGATGTATTATAAGCACATATGTAAATACAACAATGCATCTTCCTGCAAAACTATTATATGCTAATAAAATTTTTAAAAAGAAATAAATTATCAATCATATTAATTTCATTTTATAGCTGGAAATGGCTCATGGAAACATCTAGTTTAACTCTGTCATTTTACAGAAAAGGAAATTGAAGTTTGGCAGTAAAAAAGAAGTAATTTTTTTCAAATGTTATATATCTAATTAATGGCTGGGATCAGAGCCTTCAGAAGACTAGTAGGCAACATAGTAGTGAAAAATTATACTCTGAATTCTAAAGACAGACAACTTGGGCTCTACCACATACTAGCTAGATTGGATTAAGTTCTTTAAACTGCCTGGTTTTTCAGTTTCCTTATCTGCAAAATGGAGATAATATTATGGTATCTGCCATATAAAAAGGAGAGAATATATCTAAATCCATTAATATTAAAATTAGGTAGTGCAAATTATCCAGGACCATAAGAGTTTAGTGAATGCTAATTATTGGAACTTATGTGTCCTAATTTCTGCATTGATGGTCTTTCTGTCTCAACAAGAATGAAAAGTGAAAGGGTTTTGTTGACTTTTGTTTGATGCCAAAAGAAATTTCTTTCTCAGATCAGAATACTCATGTGTTATTCTATTCCCCTTTACATCTCATCTTTCAGGGCCAAGGAGATTAAGATCAAGTTGGGAATTCTCCTCCAGAAGCCAGACTCAGCTCTTGACCTTATCATTCCATATAACGAGAAGCCGGAGAAACTAGCCAAGACCCAGAAGTGAGTCATGAACATGGATTCCACTCAGTTTCCTCCAGATAATGACTATTTTTCCAGTGTGTAGCACCATCTTTTATCTATAGAATTACCCCCTTCTATTACTCCTTGAAGACCGTACTAGTACTCAGAGAATTGGTTCATAAATAAGCATTAAAAAAATTATTCCATGTCTGAAGCATAATGCCAAATAAAGGCAGAATTATTAAAAGTGGGGACCTTCCTTATCTTTGGGAAAGGTAGACTATGCTTTGTAAAATGGCACTAGCCACTTCTCAGTTATTTACCACACAGAAGTGTGGGATACACACTTGACTATTTACTACCTTGGGCCAGGTAAGCCTTGCACGCTCACCTGCTAAAGAATATCCAAGGCTACTTCTTCAGCAGGAAGATGCAAGTGAGAACATTTCCTCAGGAAGATGCTAAGGAAAAGGTAGATAAAGTAAAACCAATAGTTTCTTCCCCAAGGTCCAACAGAGGAACAGCAGAATGATACTTCAGGGAGGAATGGATTCTTGACTATTTCTATTTAATGCACACCAAGCACTTTACTCCAACCCATAAATCAATATTAATATTTCTGATAAGATTTCTGCAGTTCTTCCTCCCTTATCCTCACCCCTAAAGCCACACCTGTCCTCCTTTCCTCCCATTAATTTGGGTAAGGCAGGAAACTATAATTCTAAAGGGTCCATATGTTATGGCAGTGAGTGTAGCTCTCACAGTGTGCACTGGCCCTACTTTAACTCAGTAACATTATTCCCAGCATTCCCATGACTCATCACCATTCCATCACCTTCCCAGACCATCACTGCCTAAATAGATACTCTCCACCTTCCCTTTAAAGCAGAGACCCATGGAATTCAAGAAAGGAAAGAAGAAAGTCCAAATGTATTAAAACTCCTTCACTCTGCTACCTGAAATCTTCAAGATCACAAAAGTTGTGGGGAAAATACAGAAGTCCCTTTTAACGTTCACTACTCTTAAAATGTAACATTTGTATAAAGTGGCCAAACCATCCTTTGTCCAAATGACCTTCGACTTAATGCAGTTGGCTTGCTTTGGAGATACAGAAATGGGTTATTCTTTTTAAAAATCATTTTCCATCATCCTAAGTGGATATTTCCATTCTCCTCCTTTTATTACTTCAAAGCAGAAGTGAGGCATAATTGAGTTTTCTGCATTTAGAAAGGGGAAAGTTAATTCACTGTGAAGCAGCAGGCTCCAAGCATGAGTGGAGAATAAGAACTACATTTCATAGCAGCAACAGATCAAAAGGTCTACTTTGAAGTAAACAGTTTGGTAATTATTGATCCGTTGGGATTAACTTTAAAAAATAAACTACTACATTTCCGGCTTGATTCTCTGCTGTAATATCCCACACGGATACTTGAACTATTTGACCAAATGGGCTCAGAAACTGTTTTAGGAGAGAATCTGGAACTGACATTTATTTGATTATTTGCTTCTTTTGTTTTCCATCCCATTTCTTCTTCCAAACATTTGAATTTTTTGGAAAAATCCTTCATATCCCTAAAGAATATTTGTGTGTGTCTACTGAAGTTTTAACAATGACCACTACAAGATATTCCCACTCTCTTCCAAACCCTTAACCCTCCTTCCATCTCTTCACTTTGGGCAAATTTCTGTGCCTTTATGGGACAAGGAAAGACTGTGTTCTATATGACCTCTGTTGACTTCTCTTTTCTCAACCTTAATATTTCTTTTCTTTTTTTTTACCCACTTTCTCTCAGAGGATAAAATAAACCTCTTGGCTGAAGGTAATTTTAATCCCTCTCATCTTCTTTGGACTATTTTTAAGGATGCATTTTCTAGTTTTAATATATTTTTCTCAGTTTTATTAAAAAATTGAACCACTGAGAAAAATAGAAGAAAAGCTACCTGTATGTTTACATCATACCCCACCTATGTTTCCATTTTAGTGTTCTTTTGGAAAAAAAAATTTATGTTTAAAATGATTAATTTGTCACATTATTGTTGTATGGGGGGCACATTATGATATTTACAAGAGTTGTTAGATACCATTTTAGTATTCTTTATTGTTCTTTTTCCCCTTGAACTTGCTTCCAGTAGGAGAAAACCCACTTCTTTGATTTTTGCAACAAAGCTCACGTATTCAGGCTGATGCCCTGGGGGATATGTGACAGGATGGGTTTCAAAGGGACAGGTTCTCCGTGAATGACATGCTATCTTTGCAGGCAGCAAGGACACCATTGTCCTATGAGAGATTTGTCAAATGAAATGTGGGAAGAGTGGAGAAAAGAGGGAGATAGCTTCCAGCTGTGATGGTCACTTCCTGAACCAGGTGGCATTTATACTGTGCATTATAAAACACGTAGTTAATCATCCCTATAAATGTTTATTTTGCCTTTCCTTTGAACTGGCTTCCTCTCCTCCCTCACACACCCACAACAGAGACTCTGTGCTCACCCTCTGTGGTCAGCTATGACCTTGCAAACCAGGATGCTCATTGGTCATTTAGTGATATGCATCTATCTTGTTTGCAGAGAAGTCAGACTTAATGAATCCTGCCAAATTCTAAGAACCAGGACAGGATGAACCTGTTACCTTCTAGGCTGGTAATCAGGACACTGGGCTGCATGCTGTGGGGGCTGTGTCCTGCTTGGCTGCCTTTAAATCAATTTGGACTAATTTAACCCCCGAGCGGACTCTGCACATGTCCTTTTCAGGAATTTAATCTTGGCTGTGATGTGCTGCTGTTATTGACCATTAATCAGTTTCTAACAAGACCATTTGGGACAAATTGGGCCTGGTAACATGCTTAAGTTTGGTGCACCTGCTCATGTCACTGCTACTTCCTGTGCTCCAGAGGAAAATGGGGACAGGAAAGTGATTTCATTTTATGAGAATATTTATAAAATCAGGAGATTCAGTGAATGAACCAGTCCTTCCCTTTGCTCTGAGCCAGTTTCTTTTGTCCAATAATTCAATGTCCTGCTGCTTCTGTGAACTGTTGGAACTTGGTGTGTATCTATTATTTGCAAAATATTGAAACAACTATGATGAAGAAATTAAGATGTGTAAGGTTTTGTGCTGGATATGTAGGTATGAGATTACACACACACACACACACACACACACACACACAGGAAAAGTTCTCCGTATGAAGCAATATAGAAGAGCCAAAAGGAGTTATTGACCTCTAAAAAGTATGTCATTTTTATAGTTAGCAATAAAATGAACCAGCAAAATATAAAGACACATTTGTAAGCCCATGTTTGTGCTACTTTTCCTCCCCGTGTTCCTTTATGCTAGCCAGAGGGACACAAAGACAGGAAAGGTAGTTCAATAAATTGCCAAAGAATTATGACATTTATGTTTCTAGTCAGAAAAACAGGAATCAACTAAAATTACTTCATAAAGGTGTTACCCTCATTTTTTGTGAAGTATAAGTTTCAACAAGTGAACACACGGACTTGATATTAAAAAATCATGTAATTAGGACTCACAGTTTATACAATAAGGAACAGCGAAGTTAGGGAATTATCACAGCACTTTAGCCAAGAAACCTACTGCTATCTTGGACTCATTACATAAAGTAAAGCTTAATCCAAGTCAAGAAAATAAAAAGCAGAATAAACAATTTTCTTATCAACCTCAGCTGCGAAACTTAGTAATTAAAACTCCAGAAATATAATTGACAGTTGATAAACAATTTAAGAGCTAAGGAAATTCCAATTTGGGAAAAACACATCCATTGCCTTTATAGTCTAATAAATGTCCTGTCAGTTTATTTTGATGTGACAATGAAGAACTCACAACATAATGCAAGGGTTCAAGCAGGGTGATTGCAAGGAGAGTGCAGTCAACCATTTTTTTTAGATACCACCAGTTTGCCTTGACACATCCTGCTGGGAGAGAAGAATTGGTGGTTAAAATGAAATAGCTGCAGGGTTTCTGCATATATAAATGTTAAAAGCAGCCAAAGGGAAAATTATATGTTGTCTATTACCTCCTTCTTTTGAGTCAGCATCTCAAGCATTTGTGTACGACATTCCAATTCAGGATATATTAACTACTTTTCTTCTCAGAAAGATCAAATTCTTTAAAAAAAAAAATTTCCCTGTCCTAATTGGGCAGAGAAATAAAGGTAGATTTTTTTAAAATGTAAACTTGCTATGATATTCCCAGCATGAGGCAAAATTATCCATACCATCTTGCACTAGCCTTAATGAGATGGCCTTCTGCTGTGGATGTGGAACCAAATACCCTTTGCTAATTAAGTCAGGTGGTGAATGGGCAACATTGATGAGGCAGGGAACATGAGTTCAATCCCTATAACAGGACAACTGGATGTCATTGAGTTATGTTTATGTTTACAATGAAGACCACAGTTAGAGCCACCATCATGGGATATACAAGAATATCAAGACACAGTGTCATGACAAATAAACTGTACTTCTAAAAAGGGACAGAAAGATTATCTAGAAAGAAATGAAGATATGTAATATAAGTACATGAAAGCAAACCAGTTAATTAGAACCAACTATTAGAAAGTAATTCAAGTGCCCTTGTTGTGAGGATGGGTCATCAGTTGTATCATTTCCACCTCAGAAAAACAGGGCCAGGTCATTGTCATATATGCAGTTAGCTACCTACTTATGCTGCCACCTATTTCTGTCCTTGTTCTTGACTTAGACCCTCGCTGGACGAGGCCCTGCAATGGCGTGATTCCCTGGACAAGCTCCTGCAGAACAACTGTAAGTTCAATTTGTTTCTTATTAGGGTCACAATAGGATCAGGACAGAGACATAAAACACCTATGCTTTTCTTGTGTCCTTATTTCCTGATTTTGGCATTTCTTCAATTTTTCCAAGTGATTTCAACAAAACGAGGGTACCATGGGAGTATGGTCGTAAGCATACAGCTAGTTATGTGGTCTCTCCCTGTGTGAAAAAATGAAGACTCACACTGCGGGCTGTGTTCCCATCTGTCTTGCTTACGTGCATGAGCCAAAGCAAGTGGCTTGACCTGTGTGCTTCTTAACAGTCTTACCAGTAAACTAGAGAAACTAATTGTTCCCTGCTTGCACTCATAATAGACTGACAAGGATTGGATACCACAGAAGAAAGATGTCTGAACAAGTCATGGGTAGTAAACTGTAGTTCAAATTCCTATCAACAGCTCTTGTGACCTGACATGAGTCATTATCTCCTCCAGCCTCAGTTTCTTCTTCTGGCAGTATGCCTTTTATATCTTCATTCAAGACATGACAAAAGTCACAACTCTTTTCCAAGCTAAAAACCAATGCAACAATGAATACTACTTACCTTTTCCTTAATCTGAAATCTTTACTGATTCCTAATACTTATATTATCAAGTGTAGTTTCTAATGTTCAAGATTCACCATAACTATATGGCTGATCCTTAGGCGAACTGACCTATCATCTGTTTGTATAGGATTTCTACATGTATTCCCTTTGGCAGGATACCTGAACTCATACCTCTAGCTGTTGAAATTCTCCCTCTCCTACAAGAGCTAGCCTAAATACAAAATGCCTAGTCTTCCTTGACCATCCAAATGAATCATTCATCCTCTGAACTTCCAGAGCCATTTTTCAGTATATCTTCTATGCCATTTAATATTTGCTGCCTTGTATTCTGTTTGTTGTTGACTTCCTTCTATGATAGAATAACAAATGGAATGTCAGACGTGCCCAAATAATTCTACCTCAACATCATTGGCCTGGAGAAACAATATTTGCCCTGTTTCCCTACATATCAGCTATTTATGCATCATGAATAACTATAAGTCTAACTCTAACCACTCAGTTTCTGTGAGATACTCTTATTTGAATCTGCTAAAACTAATAATATATAGTCAGAAAATCTCAAAAATTAACTGTGACTGATGCAAAACAGGTAAGAAAGACAGTTACATTTGAGAACTATATACATATAAAACTTCACAATCCTTTTTGGCATGTTTGATTCCATCAATTTAAGCGATTTAAACTTGAGGAAGAATGTCTTTGTTGATTTATAAGGAACATTTGACATTCTTTTGTGTTAATATAGTTTATTTCCTCTCACAGTTGATATAGCTACCCAAGTATTCCTTAAATCAAAATTTCTTTGAGTGGAAATAAAACCAATAGGTACCAAGCCTCTAAAAAACCCTAGCTAATCTGCTACTCAGTCTTTTCTAACTAGTAGTGATGCTTTTACCTTTCTTCATTTAAGAAATAATTTTTTAATCACCCAGTGTCTTTGACTCTGTTCTTAAAAACATCAATTTCTTATATTTTGCCTTCAATTCCATAGGTAGTGCCATCCATTTCCATTTATTAGTTTCATGGCATACATAACAAATATGTTGTTCTTTAAACACAAGAGCTGATACAAGTCCGTGACAAAAAATAATTCCCCCATACGCCATTTTTAAGAGCACAGGAATGATGAAGCATAGCCCAGTAGCAGCAAAGTTTTTAGGTGACATCCCAAGAGCTTCAAAAGGTCAGAACATTTCCTTGAGACACCCTTGAGAACTGGACTCTCCCATGAGGAATAAAATAGCATAGACCCAGGCTCATCTTTTTGTTTCTATCTTTGCATTTTCTCTTTGCTTCTCTCTCTTTAGTTTCTACTTTTCTTCCTTCTTTTTTCTTATCATCTTACTCACTGACAAACTCATTTTAACTCAAGACAACAATAATAAAATGCAATAGCTAACATTTATTAATCACATGCCATGCACTCTTCTAAGCACTTTGCATTTATTAGTTTATTTAATTATAATAATTTTAGGACCATGGTACAACAGCCCCTATTTTTCATAATAGGAAATTGAAACTTAGAGAGATTAGGTAGCTTGCCCAGGAAATAAAATACTACAGCAATAGCAAAATCAGAAATTTAATTTTTCTTTAAAATTTATGTTCTTTGGTTCTGTGAGTTGAAAGGAAACCCTTCCCTTAATGTGTCTTATTTAGCTCAGTGGAAATCTCTAGTAAACGTTAAATGCACAGATTTGAGCTAGGAGGTGGGTGCAAAAGTGAGGCAATGCTAAGTAAAACTCAAAGAATTAATCAAGTTATAGAAAAGATGGCTGTATACAAACAGTTCCAATAAAAGAATAGAAAGTGATCTCTTCCCTCCTAGTAACAAAAATCCTCAAGAGCAAGTAGATGGCAGTGGGCAAAGACTACCTCACAGATGATGCAACATTTTAGTTGAGTTTTAAATGATGACAAGGATACATTTTAAATGTTATAAATAATACTGATGAATGTCAGTATGCATTGAACAACATAATAGTAATTATTTAGTACCATATAAAAGGTATAGATGAATTATTTAATCCTTACCACAGCCCTATCAGATGGGTTACATTATTGTCTCCATTTACCAGATGGGGCAACAGAGGCTCAGAGAGTTTGGATATCTTGCCCAAGTTATTGCAATAAATATAGGGTACCAGAATTCACCCTGAGGCAATCTTGGCTTGAGAGTCTAGTTTGAGCCAATAGGCTATGTAATGTCACTTATTAATTATCGGTGCCATTTCACTGCCCTTCCTATGCCCTCCCCCACCACCAAAGACTGTGGAGAGTGGATTATGAAAAGCCTATGAGAACTGGACATGAGCAAGGTGAGATGCAGCTTAATTGCTTTCATCTGTAGGCTGAGATAGGTGTAGCCTCGTGCCACAAAACAGAAAAAGCAGAACAGCCAAGTCTCCTAAGCTTGCATTCAGAGAAGCAAAGAATGCAGGTTTCTCCTGTTACAATGTCACACCCCTCCCCAAGAGCCTCTGCTCCACCCTGTTCGCCACTGTTTATAAAAGATCCACTGAAGGAGGGCTTGGGGTTTCTTTTTTTTGTCTTTGTCTTTTGGTTTGGAGGGTTTTTTGGGGCTTTGGCTTGGGCTTTGGCTTGATTCTTTTCCTTGGGCTTTTTGGTGTGGGAAGCTTTTGGAAGGGAAAAGAATTACTGAAGGGGAAAGAATTGCTAAAGGGAAGTTGCTGAAGTATGGCTAAAGAGAGGTTGATAGAAAGTCTGCACCGAGAACTTTAACATAGGCCTTAGAAAAGCAAAGCCAAAGAAAGAAAGTTAACATAGGCTTTAGAAGCTAAAGAAAAGCCAAAGAGAACATGGAACAGTGCAAGATAGAGGACTGAGATTTTGCAAGTCTGAACACCTAGGCTTTAAGAAAGCTAAAGAGAGAATGCTAAAGAAAAGCACCAAGCCTGAGGGCAGAAGACTTCCAGAGTGATTAGGCTAAAGATAAGCTAAGAGAAAACATGTGACAGAGCAAGTCTAAGGAAAGAGGTTTTAAGCAAGTTTTTAAAGCAGGCTTTAGAAGCAAGGCTTTAGAAGCAAGAGCTGCAAGGAGTAAGGCCTGAAAGAATAAAGACAGAGAAAATAAGCAATGAGGGTTGTGCGTCTCCACCCAAGTGCCCAACACACCCGACCCCATTTTCTGTCTGTCTTTCTATCCTGTGTGTTTTCTGAATCTCCAGTAGCCCCCAGTTAAGCCCAGTTAGGTTCAGTAATAACCAGGAGTAAGAGAGAAAGCTTGCTCTAACAAGGAAGGGAGTAAAAAAACAGTGCCCCCTCCAAAAGACATTCATGCTAATCTCAATTTCAATATTTTTTCCTTTATACCAAATTGATTTAGATTTGTCTAAAGCTTCCTTTTAGTCTTACAGTGGACTTACAGGTGCATTCATTTTGTTCTTCATTGGTTACTACTCTTATTTTACCTAGAAACCAAAAGTCTTATCATGCATTAGGGGTAGCTCTGGGATTATAATATGGACATATCTCAGAGTGTTTCCACAAGACCAAGGAGTGAGATGGGCTTCACCTGCTTCCTTGGTAGTGGATACCTCAAGGGGTATGTTGAAAGGTTTTCTGAGGCTGCATGAAGACTTGGCAGGTGTTGATTTCTCAGGAACATGGGCTGGGAGTCGTCTAGGGGTGTGGAGTAAGCATAGGAAAGTGGTTGGCAAAGAAGACATGTATATCCCTTACACAATAGAGACATTTGGCCTAGAGTTTTTTCAACTTTAACCCAAGAAGATATCCTCAAGGGTGATAGGAATCTATCAGAGAAAGTCTCTGAGGAATGGACCATTAGAAAACCAGAGCCTTTGTTGTAACCTGACTTACATTCCTTTGGGTACATCCCTAGGAGTGATATTGCAGGATTATATGGCAGTTCTATTTTTAGATTTTGGGAGAGCCTCCATACAATTTACATTCTTACCAGCAGAGTATTAGGGTCCCTTTTTCCCCACATCCTTGCCAACATTTGTTGTTGTTTGTGTTCTTGATGATTGTCATTTTAACAGGAGTGAGGTAGAATCTTAATGTGGTTTTGACTTGTATTTCCTTTATGGCCAGGGATGTTGAGCATTTCTTCATGTGTTTTGTAACCATTTGGACTTCTTCCTTTGTTTCTTTTGCCCATTTCTCATTGGGCATACACACCCATGTTTATTGCAACATTATTCACAATAGCTAATCTATGGAAACAGCCAAGATGCCCCACTACTGATGAATGGATCAAGAAAATGTGGTATCTATACACAATGGAATTTTATTCAGCCACAAATAAGAATGAAATTTTGTCCTTTGCAGGTAAATGGATGGAACTGGAGAACATCACCTTAAGTGAAGTTAGTCAGGTTCAGAAAGCCAAAAAAGCCTCATGTTTTCAATCATATGTGGAATATAGACCTAATAGAAATGTAGCAATATTATGAAAAACAGGACACTCTAAAGGGAGGTCACACAGGAGAAGGGGAGGGCAAAAGAATGAAGTTAAGGTGAATATGGTTGATGTAGAATCTATACAAGAATGAATACAGAACTTTTAAGCCAGTTGAAACCACCATAAGAAAGGGACTAAGACAGAAAGAAGAAAAGTAGAGGAGATGAACCAAACAAGGCTATAATACATATATACATGGACGTGTCACAGGGAAACCCCATTTCCTTCTTAAATAAGCAAAAATGTCATTGTTTTCTTTTACAAAATTAGAGAACAGGAGGGCAGGGCAGGTCCTGTTGGGGGGGTGGTATTTATGTGTGGAGGCGAGGTGGGGAAAGGGTATAGGAGGGTGAATATGATGCAAATACTGGGTACACATGTACACAGTAAACAGAAAAATGAGACCTGTTGAAACTGTTCCGGCAGTAGGAGTGATAAAGGAGAATGGTGGAGGGGGTGAATTCAAGTATGATATATTTGATTTATTGTAAGAACTTTTGTAAATAACACAATGTACCCCAACTCAGCGCAATAATAAATAAAAGAAAGCCAGAGGCTAAGGGGAAGAAAGTGCCCTGGGAGGTAGTTGTTGAAGGTTCCAATAAGAGAAGCCCCAGAGAATGCCCAACTGCCCTATGAAAGAACAGCGTCAAACACTTCCCAGTACAGCAGGGTATAAAGTCATTTTGAGTTTGGTTTACAGTAAATACATTGACAAAAGATGTTGAAATAATAGTGTCAAACTCAATGAGAGTGATGAAACCAATACCCAGGAAATGGACTCACCACCCTGGAAAGTTATTTTCCAAGCTCATTTCTGGGATATGTAGTAAATGTTAACACTGTTGTGGAATACTGACATGTGTCTTCAGGTCTTAAATAATGTTTGGGAGGACTGGGCTTTTATCTCTACATTTTACAAAGATGTAGAATGGGTGATTCAGAGTACTTGGTAGGGCTATGAGCTAATAAGAATTAATTTGTCATGGACTTGTTCTATGGAATTATTTTCTCCTCTTAGATCTGGTTTTGCAGGAGCTCATAAGATTTCATTTCCTGGCAGCTAGAAAGTGCCTGGAAAAATTTCCATTTCAACAGAGATTATCAGACGCTTTTTGTTTAAGAAACCGTGAAAACTTTAACCAAGACATGGAGAGAACTGAGCCTTATTTTTTCTTTCAACATATATGTTGACTCCTGTATCATTAAATCATGGCAAATAGTGTTGGAAATATAGTAGAAAATATGGGTAGGAAGAGGGAGAAAGTACATCTGATTTCGTGCAGGTAAGGTTATCCGAGGGTTTTCAAATAATTCTGCTAGTCAGGTTTCTAGAGAAAATTGTTCAATGTACCTATCATTGTTCCAAGATTTATTTCCAGGTATTGATCATAAAACTGATTTTAGGATAGGTACGGAGAGAATAGATTAAATTGAAAAGTGTCCTGTTTGGATTGTGAAATTGATGGTGACCTTAGTCCAAGTTAATTTTCACTGGAGCCATTCTTTTTCTTCAGAAGTGAATATGGTTGCAGGGACTGTGAAGAGCATAAGGGACAATAAAAATGTATAGAAAGAAAAAAATTTAAAAAGAATGACCTTATGTCTTTGGTTTAATCATGACATACATTTTGGGTTTATGTGAAATCAATGTATTAGGCAATTACTAGTGAGTGAAAAATCAGTCTATAAAAAGGCAAGTGAGAAAAACTAAAGGGAAAGAGAAAGAGATCAAAATTGGGTCAAAGAAAATGAATTCCCAATGTTGAATATAGTCCTTAAGAAGAACTAATAGATTGTAGAAGGGTCTCTTAATGAGGACAAATTAGAGGAAGACTGAACACTGACGTGACTGATAACAGCCATTCCTGCCTTCTGCCCTGGGAAGCAGGTGACACACCAGGCATGTTGCCAAGGGTAGACTGTAGTCTTGATACAACCTGTGGAAAGTAGAGTTTTTCTCTCTTCCCTTTAGAAATCTTTACTTTTCTCACATGTCAAATAGACATGGATTTTCTTCCTACAGATACACATTTGTTAGAATTTTGGTTAAAAAGTTTCATTCAGATACATATATATGTATATAGCCATATACTCAGCATTAAGGAGAAGAAAAATATTGTAGGAGGTACTAGAAGGGTAGGAAATAAAAAGAAAGTAAAAGGATCAGATCCAAGTATTTTTGTGTATATATATTTGATGTTATGTCTATATCTATATGTAGATACAGATATAGATATGTTTCTTAATTTATAAACTGGGGTTTATTGTACATAGCAATAGTACACTAGGATAGAATCACAGTAGTTATATTAAATTCAATATATTTCAAAAACTGTTGTATAATTGATGGCTGTAGTAACTACTTTACACATGTCAACTTCATCTGGTCCTTGCCCTCAGGTTACAACTTGAGGGTTAACTTCCCCAAGTCTAAACTGAAATTAGGCCTCTACTATAACTGTTATTATTCTTTATATAGTTTTCCCTTCATTGTATAAATGTTCACTGTGTTTCTTTTTTTTTCTACTTTCCCCAGAATTTGTATACTCCATTAGGGCAGGACCATGTGTATTGTACTTGCCTTAGTGACTTATCATAGTGCCTAAGGCATAATAATTGCTCAAAAATCATCTGCAGAAAATAAATGGGTTTATAAATAGTTTATATATGATAATCATTATTAATTTTATACTGAGAATACCAGTTTTTAAATCTATTCTTTCCTCATTGGTAGTTCGTATGTGTCTAGAATGGCATCAGTGTTAATAATGTCCATTGATGTCATAACATGCAAACATTTGTCACCTAAATATCCACTGCATTCAGTTGTTTTAAAAAGTCAATGTCAATGTGGTAAGTCCTCTGTCCAGTGTCAGTTTCCTCTGAATATCCAATGATGATCAGAGCTGAAGCTTCATCTTTTCTGTATCTCTCTATATCTCTGTCCTATCCCTCTGTCATCCAAATGAAGGGTTAAGAAAGGGAGATGAGATTAAACTCAAATTTTGTGCATAGGATAGCACTGGTGAGCCCTTTGTGATCATCTCTCGGGCACGACATTTGTGCTGGCCTGTATGTTGTTCTCAGCCTAAGTGCAGTAGAGAGTAGGCAGCCATTATTGGATATTTTCTGTTCCAAGAAAATGAATCATTCATCTCCTGAGAAGTAGCTTAGGATAACGGATAAATGCATGAACTGTTGAGTCAGATATCCTCAGTTTGAATCCTGGTTCTGCCACTTACTAGATGAGCATCTATGGGCAGTCACTTGACTTCTCTGACCTCATCCGTGAAATAGGATACTTATAGCACCTGCTTCTTAGTTGTGTAATAAGAATTAAATGAGTTACCAACTACGAGATTTTACATCAATGTCAGAAATATATAGGAACTAAGCCTAGGCTATACAGCAGAGTATTATGCCTATTAAATAAATTAATAAATTTTCCCAACTGAATTTTTTCCTAACTGACTTTTTTCCTTGCTAGATGGGCTTGCTAGTTTCAAAAGTTTCCTGAAGTCCGAATTCAGTGAGGAAAACCTTGAGTTCTGGATTGTCTGTGAGGATTACAAGAAGATCAAATCCCCTGTCAAGATGGCTGAGAAGGCAAAGCAAATTTATGAAGAATTCATCCAAACAGAGGCTCCTAAAGAGGTTGGTCCTGTTGGGCTGGTGGGTGAGTATGGTCAGTTAAGAGATCAGCATATTCTAAGGAAGGATTGAGATCTGAGATACAGGCCAAACACTTAGAACTAAAGGCTGTGCCTACTTGTGAGTAGGTCACCCAATTAAGCACTTTCTGAGTACAAAGGCAGTGACATATGGTTTAAACAGACATGATTCAAATCCTATTCAGACCGCTTCCCAGCTTTCTAGGTCTCCACTTCAGTAGCACGGAACCTTGAGTGAGAATGATGCCAGTGTGGGATCTTAGATAAATTATTGAGTCTAATTTCCTCCTTTATCAAAATAAGAATAATGGAGATTATTTTGTAGAGTTGTAAGGATTAAACAAATAGATGTGAGAACATCTCAGTGTCTGAACTAATTAATGCCTAATGAGTATTGCTACTTGAATTTTCTTTGTTCCTCTTTCTTTTCTTTCTCTTTCCTTCAAGCTCCACTTTTTGTTTTTCCCTCTCTTCTCTCCTCCATCCTTTATTTCCTCTTCCTCTGACCTTTGACATTTATACTTTAGTTTGGGACAGCAGGACTTCTACTCATGAAAACAAAAATAATACAAATATTAGTGATAAAGATAGTTAAACTATACCCCAAATTGACTAATAAAGACAAGTTATATGTTAATTTCAAAGAAGTTTTGGGGGAAGTTGAGAAATTCAGCATGACAGCAACAAGACCTGCCCATTATGTTTTGGTCAAGATCTTAAAATTCCACCTTGTCCAATTTGGACAATAAACGTTTCATCAAAGTTTGGAGTCAAGCACAAAGGTGGCTGAACAAGCCTTTTGTGTAGGCAGCAACCTGTTTGAGATGATTTAAAAGGAAAACATCACTGACATCTCTTTTCTCCCACATATGTAACAGAATCCTGTCCTTCCAACATTAGATACTTATTGCTTTGGTTACATATTAACCTGTACTAACCTTCTTTAAAGAGTAAATATGGAGCTGGGGATGTAGCTCAATGGTACATTGATCCCCAGCGCGCACACACACACACGTAAATATGTGACAATGTATGGCAAACTATAAACCTTAATACCAATATGTGTTCTCTCTATACACAGGTGGTAGAAGTTGGAAATACAAAAGTGGTAGTCTTTACTCCCATTTCCAGCATGAGAAGCAGGAAATGTTTCTCCCTCTTCCCCCACTTCTCCCCGCTTCTATTCTGTATACTAAATTCCTTTCCTAATTAACTCTACTATTATTTTTACTACAAAGAAAGAAGTATGCAAGTATAGAGTACAGTCAGTCAAAGTCAAGAAAATGAAAGAGTTCAACAAGGAAACTAGGAAAGCTAACTTGCTACAGGCCTTAACTTTGGAATTCTCTTCAGATCGCCTCTTCTACTCTTCAACTTCCAACTCCAAGCATAAAAGTCAGCTCTCCCCTACTTCTGACACCATTTATGTTGAGCTATCCTTTTTTCTGTCAATATACAATCTCTTGGTATATGTAATGAGACAATTAATTAACAAGGAGATGAATTTAGAGTTAAATTGGGTACACCTTTTCCCATTTCAAATGGATTCCTCATTTGCAACCTTCCTATAAAGGTCATTCCTCTTCACATAATTCCAAGATTTGTTTAAATACTGGCAAATGGTAGAGACCTATCCATACTCTTATTAGTTTCTCAGAATTCTGGGAAAACATTGTTCTCAAGGTTCCTTATTAAAAATTATTGGTTGTGAAATATGAGACGTTAAAAATAGAGTTTTAAAATAAATAAAATCCAGCTGACCTACTAGAACAAATAAATAACAGTCACCAATTATAAGGTTCTAATTTAATAACTTGGGCCTGCATTCTAAACAATGTGTGCTCATGTAGGGGCACAAGAGTATACATAAGACCTCCAAAAGCAGGCACTCCAGGGTAATGAGCCTATGCTGGGCATGAGAGAGAGAGAGAATGCAATTCTGCTCCTGACACAGCATAATAATTCAGCAAATATTTGTGAGATGAATGATGAAACCATACAGTTTTAGAGCTTTTTATATGTATCCCTTGGGCAAGTCTGTAGGTAAATCCTCAGTCCTCTCTTTTTGTAGTAAAAATAATAGCAAACTTTACTAGGAAAGAAATTTAGTACAACAGGACAAAAGTTGAGAGAAATAGAAAAAAAGAGAAACATTTCCTGTCCCCAGGAGTTAGAGACTCAGTCCTCTTAATTATGAACTCTTGCACATATGTACTGTACCTGGAGTATGTTGAACAAGTTGTAACATATAAATTCTGCAACTTTCACATTTTTACCTAAATACTTGCTATTTCATTTTCATGAGATTGATTTATATAATGAATTTATCCAGGCAAATAGTAATCTAAGTTTTCTTTCTCTGAATATTAGCCTCAGCTCTTTCATACCAGAATCTGACTGAGAGAACTAGGATTTTAAAAAAGAGAAGTGCCCATGTGTAGCTCAATAAGTAGATAATTTGTGCATTGCAAATTATCATTTGGCTACATTTAAATTAATGAAATCATGTTTTATGGCTCAAAAACCGATATATATCAGAGCGACTTGCTAGAAGATGCACATAAAAATATTAAGAGAAATAACTACTATTTGCTGTAGGTCCTATGTGTTAAAGGGTTTTTTTTTTTATTCATATTTGCATACAATGTTTGGGTCATTTCTCCTCCCTGCCCCCCTCCCCTACCCTCTCTCCCCCTTCCCCCCTCAGTTCCAGGCAGGTCTTGTTCTGCCTTTATCACTAGTTTTGTTGAAGAAAGACCCAAGCATAATAAGGAAGACAAAGCATTTTTGCTAGTTGAGTTAAGGATAGCTATACAGAAATATTCCTAGCATTGCTTTTGTGTACATATGTGTTATGACCCATGTTGATTCATCTCTAACTGACCTGTACACTGGTTACTGGTCCCCTTCTCATGATAACCTCTGTTGCTTTAAGGTTTCTGTATTAGTTCCTCTGGAGTGGGGACATCAAACGCTTTCATGTTTTGGGTTTTCTCTCTACTCCTGTATCTCCCGTATGTGCTCTCCCCCTGTCATGTGATCCAATTCCAACCACACTGCTGCATTTGCCCTAGATCTAAAGTCCGCATATGAGGGAGAACATACATTTTTGGTCTTCTAAGCCTGGCTGACCTTGCTCAGAATGATGTTCTCCAGTGCAACACTTCAAAATGTAAGATTAGGAGATCTCTTATAATTTTTAGAAATTCAACTATTTGAAGTAAGGCCAACTATAAAGCTCTGTATCTATTTAACATAAGAGAAGGAAGAAGCATTGTTTTAGTATGGTGGGAAGAATAACAAACCGAGAACAGGGAAGTAGACGCTGTAGCCTCACTTCTGCCCCACAACATCTGTTCCTAGGCATGTGACTTGCTCTTGGCAGGCCTCAGAGACCACCCATGTGAAAGCAGGCTTTGGCCTCCATCATCTCAGAAGCTGCTCTCAATTATGGCAGTCTTCTCCTCATTGTGCCTACATCAGCACATAGCTCTGGGCTTTGAAGGGCAGCCCAGTCCTGCTGTCCTGGCTCGGTCTTGCCCAATCAAGCCTTTGTCTCTGACTCTGCAGCTGTACCATAATTATCTGAGCCTCCTGAAAATAGTTCTTTTCAGTAGCAAGGACCTCTAGCCCAGGGGAGACTTGAAACATTTTTTGGTCCAAGACCAGTGTCTGATTTAGATTCTATTTCTTTCTCTTTTATATTCACACTACTTCATAGTTATTAAGGCATTCAATGTGAAGTATAAATGTTCTCTTGAAATCATTCGTAGGCCATCTCATACAGGTTGTACCCTGCACGACTCCGGGGCAACCATTCACATGGGCACTAATGTAAATGATATCACTGGAAGTCATGCCGTGAAGTGGCCCTGCTGTCAGGACATATGAGCCACAGTGCTTTCTAAGTGATGTAATCTGCTGATTAAATGTGTGGGCTCTGGACCACATTGGGGAATTCTGAATCTTCTCTTTACCAGTTGTGACCTTGGGCAAGTCACATGGCATTTCTGTATCTCTGTTTCCTGAACTGTAAAATGTAGATGGCAATCTGTACCTCACAGATGTGTGGGAATAAATGAGTCCATCCACATGAAGCTCTCAGCATACCACCTGGCATAGACTAACCATTTAACAAATATTAGCTGCTATCAGTGGCTTTATTTATTATTCTTTTAAAACTACCATTTCCTAGTTTGTTTTAGGAAACAGCAAATTTCCTTACTCTTCTAGAGCTGTGAAAAAGGGCATAGATCCCTGGTTGGAATTTCTTTTTGCCTTTCTACTCTCTCCACAAAGCAGGAAACCAAATGCTATGGAAGGAAGATTGCGAAATTAAGTACTAGGACACTTGGATTCAAATACATTTATCAGTGTTAAGATCTTTTTTTTGACAGTACTGGAATCTGAACTCAGGCCTTTGTACTTTCGAGGCAGGCGCTCTACCACTTGAGCCAGACCCCAGCCCCAGTACTGTGATCTTGAAGCCACTTTGCTCTCTCTCTCTCTCTCTCTCTCTCTCTCTGTGTGTGTGTGTGTGTGTGTGTGTGCGCGTGTGTGTGTGTGTTTATTTTTCTACAAATGTAAGCAGTCATTGTTAGGGCTGTAGTTAGAGTAATAAGATATAAGATATGTATATGTTGGCTACTGGTGGAGGGCTTAACACCTGGTGGGTGTCTAACATTGGTTGGATCTGAATCATGTCATGCACTTATTGGAACATCAA